CAATCAATCAATCAATCAATCAATCAATCAATCATCATTAGTCATCGCCTTTAATTATAATTTTAATCAATCAACGATCGTCAATCGTCAGCTTTAATAATAAATCGTAATAAAAAAAAATTGTATACTAAATCGTATAATCGATTACGATCGTCTGCCGTCGTCGCCTACCATCTCTCGGCTGCAGTTCTTCATGATCTCGCTGAGGCCGACACAGACCCCCTGCCGCTGGTCGGGCTGCGGCGACTCCAGCCCGCGCTCCAGTATCGGGATGATCTCAGGCAGCACCCGCTCGCCCAGCTTACGCACTAGGTCACCCAGCGTACGTGCTGCCACCTACGGGTGAAGAAAGCAGGCGTTACGATGATGTTATGACGAAGAGTTATGGGGAAGAGAGAACATGAGAGAGAGAAGCAGGAAGAGAGAGAGAGAAAAAGAGAGAGAGAGACAGAGAGACAGAGAGAGAGAGAAGGAACAGACGTCTGTTGAATGTGATCGCATCCGAAGCGAAGACGTCGTCCCATGAGTCTCGCACCGCGTGCACCATGTGCAGCGCCACCTACCTGTCGCTTGTCGTAGCTCTGGCTGGCCAGGCAGCCTAGCAACAGCTGGAAGAGCGTGGGCAGGATCTCGCGCAGCGTGCGCGCCGTGTTGGTGACGATGACCTTCCAGACGTGCAGCGCGGACTGACGCACGAGCAACGCGACGTCAGACCGACCCATGTAGAGCCCGGCGAGCACGCGGTTACGCCGGTCTGAGCCGAGGATCTCCATGACCGCCTGCAGACGAACGATGGCAGACGATCAATAGATGAACAATAGACGAACAACGCAGACAATCAACAGTTGCTTAATGAAGACGAGCAAACGATCAACACAGTTGCTTAATAAAGACAAACAAAAAACGAGCACATGATCAATGCAGAGGAACAATGCAGACAATAAACGCAGAGGAACAATGCAGATGAACGTCATTGTGTATACTACGATGATAATGAATATTTTGCCTTTGTTTAGTACTATAATAAGGCGCAATACACTGGTTTCACTTGCTACAATATGATCCAATGAATTTACTACATACTACTCATACATTATTATGATCATCGCTGTAGTGTGATATAATGTATTTGCTATAGTAATGGACTATATAATATGAAAGATGATAGTAATTAGTAGAGGCACAGGTTACATTAGTTTGATGAGTCATTCTTGGTTACAGATGTAGCATGTATAAACCAGTAGCATACAGTGGTGTGGACTTACTCACCTTCTGTGATGTCTCAGTTCCAAAGTTGTCATCTTCGTCACCTTCTGTTGTCATTTTACCCGAAACGCCTAAAATAGACAATTATGTCACTTTAATAAAAAGTATACGTTCTTAAAAATTCACCCGATTACCCCCACCTCCACTGCCCCTCCCTCACCGGCCCACACTGTTCTGTTTCTCTCTCTCTAACCCTTGCCCTCCATTTCTCTCACTCTTGCTTTCGCACTCTCTTGCTCTTTTACCAGCCCCCATTTTGTTGCTAGCTCCTCCACCTGCCATGTACCTCCTGCTCACCACCTCATGGCACCCTTCTTTCCCACTTGCCCCCCTCTTCTCCTCCTCCTCCTCCTCCTCCTCCCTCTCTATCTCAGCCTCGTACCTGACACCTTGTATAGCAGGTCACCCAGCAGCTGTACGGAGCTGTAGCGAATCCTCCAGTTGTCATCAAACAGACCCTTCTCCAGCTCAGGGAGGAACAGTTCGATGGCTGTCTCTGCGTACAGGTGTACGATACGCTGACCCGCCCGCAGTGCTGTCTCTCGCACAAACTCTGACTCATCCGCCAGCGCCTACAGCAGACACGTGCCGTCACTCACAGTCACAGACATGCAGACACTGGCACCATCACAGACACACAGACACGATCACAGACACGTATTACAAATCTATGTCACGACACGTGTGAATGCAAATGATTTTGTTGTGGAAATTTA